ACTGTGGAAACTACAAAATTCGTATTCAGTGAGTCATAACGTATTGGAAAATTCAGAGTGGATATTAAGTTTATTTGGGAGGACTCCTAGAACAAGTCTGTTTCTTAGGCTCAGTCCCCCAAGTATGCCTCTGCCTTCTTCTCAGGGAAGACTGTTTTTAGGTCAGTTGTAAGATATGACTTGCTTTTGTCCCTGTGGTGATGCTGGTCCTAACAGTACCAAGACACTGGTGGGAAAATCTGCTAGCACCTGGCTGAAAGATGCAATGCCATGAAACCTTTTTCAGGGTTACTTCACTTTCATTGCCACAAAATTCAGTTACCCTTAAGAATGCTTGTGATGGAACAACAAAAATTCAGCAGTTGTTGAAATTCCAGCTCTATGTCTTTTAAATATTCCCTGTGGCAAAACAGGCAATGCACATAAACTCTTGTATTGCATACTAAAGTACACACAGTGTCGATCCTGAAATGAAATAGTGTGAGATGAAACTGCTCTTTGCCTGAAGTATAGACTTAAAGAATAACTGCTAACCATTCCGTGCTATTTTGATTTGTATACTGATGGACTTTCTTCAAATGAATGAAGTGCTTGTCTTCCCCAAGTTAATAAGCAGCATTTATTTTCAATGAAAACAAAATCTGAGTATTTACAGAACTCGAGCCTGTCACAGTGAACTTGATAGCTCTCTGTACTGAAATTGAGGTTATTTTGTATAACCAAATGTATCCATATTTGCAAGATTTGCATAAAACAGCGAGCCAGTATTTTCCAAATGATGAATCATAGAATAAGCCGTGTGTTAAAGAGCCTTTCAAAGTGTGCAATCAACCACTGGGCTTGAATGTAACAGTGTTAGAAGTCCACTGAAATGGCTTCATGTTTTTTATATTACAATTATCAGGTTCAAGAACCAAGTCCTCGCTGGGTTTTGGTGTCACTCTTATGAAGACGAATATCCAGATTTATTGAATAGGCTATTAAAATATTTTTAATTTCCAATTGTATATTTGTACAAAACTAGACTTTAGATGAAAGTAAACATTGCAAAGATCACATACACATGTGATATGAGATGACAACTCTCCCATTAAGATAGGAAACAATATTCCTTTTTGTTAAATTGTTTTCTTTAGGAAACAAAATTATTTTTCAGGGAATGCTTTTATTTAGTACCTTTTTTTGGTTTTTTTGAGACAGGGTTTCCCTATAGCTTGATGCCTGTCCTGGAACTACCTCTTGTAGACCAGACTGGCCTCGAACTCACAGAGATCCACTTTTTCTGCCTCCCAAGTGCTGGGATTAAAGGCATGCACCACCACCACCCAACTTATTTAGTATATCTTAAGTTTATTGTAGTTATTTTGTAATGAATATTTTTAAAGTTGTGTCTTTATTCATGAAATATAGAATATTGATAAAAAATAGCTCATGAAACTAAAGTTCCTTGGAGTCCTCTATCATATTAGCTGATGTAAGGACCACTGTAAAGTGAAAAAAGACAACATCATAAGAAACGGTCACAAAAATGGATTGAAAGATCTTCAAGGCTTAGACATCATCATCTCCACTGTAATTATGTATTTGTTACCCACCTACTAAATGTAAGTATGTCCTTCAGTATGCAGACATATTTCTTTATAATGTAACAGTTGACATTCTTCTCGGGCCAGGGGGCAGTCAAGACAACCGATTAAAGCTATCATCCAAACTGTGAAGCGTAGATGATATAGAATCTTATTCCTGGCCTTGTTGGCAGAGGGCAGTCCTGTTTGTGCATTCTCTTTCCTTCTCTCCCCTTCATGCACTGTCTCCCCATGCACAGCAGGGGCTGTCACTCTGTTCTCTAAAGTCTGTCAGACTCAGTGAAGATTTGATCACTCTGACACAGGTATCCAATGCAAAGGTGCACCAAGTTTCAGCCACCATCCATGCTGCCTGAGGACGTGCAGCCATCTTCATAGATCAAGCTCTTACAATATGCCACACACTGATCTGGGAGTGAAAGAATGAAGCAGGTCCTTTACTTGAGGAACCTGCAGTCTAGTGGAGATGTATGTAATTTGCATGAAGTACAAAAAAATAATAATGTGCTGTGCAAATCTAGGGAAATCTTGGGAGGATGGAATCCTGGGTGGAAACCTGGAAAGATTGTTAGAGAAAGTAACCTTTGGGGATGCAAGAATAGCTCAGTGGTAGAGCACTTATCAGGAGCCTGATCTCCAGCAGCAACATCCAAATGTCTCACTCCCAAACTTTGAGGAGAAATACAAATGATGGCTCTGTGGCCATTGGATGCAAGGATTAGAACATGAAACAACATAGAATATATGGATAATAATATATTCTATTGAATCTTAATTTGATTAGAATGTTTTTAAACACTGTAGTATGTTCAATTATATTTAATTTAAATCAGAATGCTATGATCTCATAGAAAGACTAATTGTTTTAAAAACAAAAATTAAAATTTTTATTTAAAACCTCAAATATAATCTTC